TATATATATATATATATATATTTACATATATATATATATATATATATATATATATATATATATATATATATATATATATATATATATACATATATATATATATTTATATATATATATATATATATATATATATATATATATATATATATATATATATATATATGAATATATATATATATATATATATATATATATATATATATATATATATATATATATATATATATATATATATATATATATATATATATATGTATATATATATATATATATATATATATATATATATATATATATTATATATATATATATATATATATATACATATGGTCCATCGATACATCTATATAAAAATGAAGGTCCATCGATACATCTATATAAAAATAAAGAATAAATTAAAACAATTAAATAAACCATATATAAAAACTTATTATCCGGCTAATCTTCTTCTGTTAACAGAAGAAGATTAATTAATAGATTAAGAATTTTATTAGTTAATAGAATTCATAATTAAAGTTCTTAAATTAGTTGATAAAATTGACCTCTCTACATTTTTTTTGCACCATGTTTATAACAATTTACATTCACGCATGCGTAAAAGTAGAACCCAGAGAAGAGAATATACCTCCTTTAGATGCGAACGTACTGTGGACGTCTCAGGACTTACCATTTTGGACTTACTATTACTTCGACTATTTTGGACGTCCATTGTACGTTTCATGACGTCCCATTTTGGACTTGGACGAACAGACCTAAACGGTACGTCCTATGGACGTCCATAGACGTCCTGTGCCCACTGGGAACCACGAAAAATTAATTAATGTGATATTTCTTTTTTTCGCTGCGGACACTCATATGTTTTATTAGTCACGCGACATTTAGCGCGTGGCGCAAAATTTATTAGTATAGCGTGACATTTAAACAATTATACTCTCCGTGACATTTATAATTGCGTGTAAACTTTAATATCGCGCGACTTAGATCATTTCTGTGCAAAGATTTAAAAGTGGCGTGAAATTTAAACATTTAAGAATTTGGCGTGACATTTTTTACAGTGTACAAATCAATGAAGTTCTTCAAGTTTTGGAATCCATAATTCACACTCCCAAGACAAATGCTGTCTCAGTTTGCAGTGCAAAAAATTGATTTCAGTTTTCTGTGTTTGTTGGATTTTTGGTGTCAAATTCTTTCTTTAATTGACCGGGAAAACAAACTGCTTCAGTATAAAAACATTTCAATTGACATTGCAGCAAAAAAAAATGAAAGGACTGAAGGCTTCCATTCAGAATCTGAGAGATGTTGGGGTGGACAACATTATCTAAGCTGCTGCAGAAACAGCTATCCAAATTGGAATTGAAGGAGACTTTCCTATGAAGAGAAAGCGCAAAGTGAAGCAGATGGCACTTTATGAAGCTGAAGATGACTTTTGCCGTTTGTCACCAGAAACAGATTTCGGATCCCAGTGCAACCTTGTGTTTGACAGCATTCTCACACAAATTGAGTGGCGGTTTGAAGCTATGTCTGCAGTATCCTCAGATTTTAACTTCCTCAGTGGACATTCTCTCTCCAAAAGTTCAGTGGATGAACTTAAGACTAAAGCCAAAAATTTGTCTAAAATTTACAAGGCAGATTTAGATTCTTCAGATTTCCAGTCAGAAATGGCAAGCTTTAAATATCAAGCTGCTGCCATGATGGTAAACTTCGAAAAATCTAGCCCGATGGACATTTTGCAGCTCATTCATAAATACTCATTGACTGATACTTATCCTAACACGGCAATTGCTATTCGCATCTTCCTCACCTTACCAGTTACAGTTGCCACGTGTGAAAGAAGTTTCAGTAAACTTAAGATCATAAAAAGCTATTTGAGATCAACTATGGGCCAAGAACGTTTGTCTTGTCTGGCAGTAGTTTCAATTGAACATGAAGTGGCCAACGCACTTGATTTTGATGATGTCATTAGTGACTTTGCCTCCAAAAAAGCCAGAAAAGTGACCTTGAAATGAAGTTTGTGAAACATTGGAGACAAATTGTTCTTTTAACTTGATGCGATAAATTTTGTGATCAATTATTAATTTTTTTTCATGTAAATATATATATATATATATATATATATATATATATATATATATATATATATATATATATAGTGTTTTTTGTATATTTTTTTGGGCGGGGGGCGAATTTTATTTGCTTGCCCGAAGCGCAAAGTTAGCCTGGTACGGCCCTGTCTACATCACGAGTAAACTTAATTTATTACTAAATACAAAATATTAAAAAAAAAATAATTTAACTGCGCATATTAGCAAAATGTTTTACATTAAATTATTTATTTTTAACCCTTTAAATCTAAAAATTGTAATTATTTTAAATTTAATATTTAATTAAAGAAAAGTATATTCTCACTAACAATTAAGCTTTTCTTTTAAAAGTAATTGTTACTTGATAGCACATAAATAGTGAGGAAAGTATTCTGATGTTTTCGCAGCGAGAAGAAAAGAAAAGAATTTATTAGTGTCTATCTTTTTTGTGTGTGTTAATTTACTTTCCCAAAGCCAAGAAAACCACTACAGTCGAGGAAGCTACTTTAACCCTCTCTCAACTCAATAACACCGAAACACAAACCATGACGAACAAGGCTGCAGCGCGGAGAAACAAGTTGTGCGTGGTACTACCAGGGGCGAGGTGGTGATCAAACTCGGAACTTCTTGATTATGAGGCGAGCGTTCTACCACTACAGCACTATTGCACTAATGTTGAATTACAACCTAGACGGGTGTTAATCGACGATTTTAGCGGTGTTATGTATATAGTACAATAATTTATTATTTCTTTCTATGTGATGTTTTATATTAAAAAGACATAAAAGAAACGATACACTTCATGCTAAACTAAAACTTTATTTTGAAAATAAGATCAAAAAATCCTTTCACAATATAAATAACAAAAAAAAAAACAACAACATGGTTTCAATGTTTTTAAAAAAAAAATTTAACTTGGTTGAAACTTGGGCATTTTTGGAAGAAATTCGATTTTTCCACATGGAATTACAAGCCTATATAATATAAAAATATAGTATAACATAAATAGTATAATAAAAATGCAATGAAAAGAAAAATAATAGTAAATAACTAGCTATTAACTATATCTCATATCGATAATCCAAATTGATATAAATAACTGATAAGAATAAAAAATTAACTACAAAGTAAGTAAAACAAATCATCATGCTAATAACGAAATAAAGAAGCAATAATTGACCTAAATTAACCAATTATATAACTTTAAACGTCTTTAGGACATAACATAAACATAAAATTAATAACTGAGTTATTAACTAAAATTTTAAATATATTAAATAACTAAAATAAACTAAATTATTAACTAAAACATAAGGTACATAAACAAACCGACGATAGAAAACAAAACTTTTTTATGTATATTATGTCATAAAAACTAAAAAAACAGCAAAAACAACAGAATACATAAACACTGATGGTGTAACAGGAATTATAAATCTATATCCAGAAAAACTTGAATGACAATCAATTTTTTTTTTTTTTTGCACTTACAAAAATGATTGCAATCAATAGAAAAGGCACACTTTTTACGACCATCTGACACAGTAATGAAAGGAAACATCTCTAATACACCATTCTCGATACATTTTAGGTAATGTTGCCTCATTTCATTATGTTTTTATTTAACTAAACTTGGATCGATACCATTACACAAAGCTGTCGCATTTGCTATTGCAAAAAGACCACAATCATTTCCATTTGGTTGCGTTTGACAATCCATTACTTCAAAAATTAAAGAACTGCTTGTTTGACAATTTAAAGATGAACGGGCAACTCTGTGCCCTATCAATGGAATATCATCTTTATTTGAACTAATAAAAAGTGAATCATAGAACTGAACATACCTTGAATGGGAAACAACATCAGAGGACACATTACTTAAAAGCACCCAATGTGAGTTTCTAATGTTAATTATCTGCATAAAGCTGTAATTTTCTGAAAAGCCACCTGAATTAAAACAACTAAAAACACACGAACTTTGAAACCCAGATATTTTAGGAAACTGATATGAAAGCAAACTTTGTGCTATATCAATCAAATTGTTGTCAAGCCAGCCAGATGGATTTCTTAAAATATCTAAGGTCTTTTCTTTTGATTGTGTTGAAAATTTAGAATAAAAATTACTAGGAACAGGAACTGCACAAAAAACTTTGGAAAACTTTGAACTTCTGCATTTACTTTTTTTAATTATATTATCAGATTTAACACTTTCTACAACACTATCGAGTGACTTATCTTCTTAAACTGCTAAAATTTTGTTACTATTATTATAGTTACTATTACTATAGTTATTATTAGTATTATAATTACTAGGAGAAGTAGGAAAAAATTTAACTTTACTAACTTTTATTTCCTTTCTTTCAGCTCCTATCTGGAATCCTTATCGTCAGTATGATAAAGATAAACTAGAGTGTGTTCAACAAAGAGCTTCTGAATTAAAATTTTGAAAGGATACAGTTATGAAGAGAGGTTAAAGAAGTTGGATTTACTATCGTTGGAGAACAGAAGAAGAAGGGGTTATTTGATACAAATGTTCAAATATTTGAAAGGGTACGATATTATAAATTTTTACACAAAACGCGAAATGCTAGATAACGGACATAAAACTAGAGGTCACAATAGTAAACTGAGAAGGCAATATACAGGAAATATAAAACAACATAATTTTTTGAACATTTTAAATACTAACTTTTATTATGTTTGTATGTTAGTGTGTTACAGCTGTTAAAGTTACAAACTCTACGTAGTTTGGACTCATCACTCTTTAAGTGAACAGCACTATTATATTATATTTTATTTTATATGATACATTAATGTGGATGTAATATTTAATGCTGTGGAAGTAGAGTTTGTATTTTCATCACATGGTTTTTCATTTATATCTATTTGGTCAGTGATTTGCAAACAATAATTATGTTCTTTTAAAAGATTTGAAGAGATAAAACTTAGATTTTCTTCCAAATAAGGCTTCATATTGGGGATAGCTACAGCTGATTTCCAAACTTTACCATTAAGGGACACAACAGCTCCAGTTGGCTAAAATTGGTATTTATAGCTGGTCCAAGCCAATCATGTTCCATACAGTTACCTTTACTACCTATCTTTTTGTAATTTTTTACTAAAACCTTGTCACCTATTTTAAAATTAAAATTTTCATCTGTTAAAAGAACCTGCAGCTTGTTAGAAGCATTTACATAGTACAGCATTCTATCTAAAAGAAAAATATAAAAAACAAATGTTTCAACACTTTCATCAAACAATTTCATAAAAAAATTTCATTTGAAGACAAGTTTGCAAAATTTTGTTTTGCAATCTTTACATTTGAATGCCAAAGGTGTATGCAATCGCTACTTTTGAGTATTTGTATAAGTTTATGCAATATTAGTCATTGCAGAACTATTCCTGCAATGTTTAGAATCGGATATAAACTACATGCAAACGTTTACTACACATGTAAACATTTGTAAACACATGTGACATATGTATGCAAAACGTGTATGCAACGGTTACTTTTATAAATATTCATTTGAAAATTAGTCATTGCAGAATTATAACTGCAATTTTTACAATCGTATATAAATTATGCGCAAATGTTTACATTTGTATACAATGTTTACACTTTATCTGAGATTTAATTATAAATTTTCAAACAAAGTTAAAGTCCAAATACAAAATTACTTTTAATATTATTACATACCAGTAAACTGAAATTTTTTAGCATACTTTAGAAATGATTTACGCTGTTTTAAACTCATACATTTCCTAATTGTTCCATCATAAAGATATTTTTTAACACCTTCTACAGAATAATCGTGTTCCGCCATCTTTTTCGTTTATAAACAATGTTATTTTTTTAACGCTGGGATTTAGGATCCTAGTTTTAAGTGTTTCCGCGTTTTGAAGCATGCGCAGAACTGCTTGTCTACTTATCAAACGAGCTACTTATTTAACGCGACACCGGCCTATTATAAATTTCAAGTAAATAAACAGATGAAATATTCAGACCCATAATACAACCACTCTCCACCTTATACGTCACTTTTGTTCTCGATACTATTTCTTAGAATTTTACTACCTAGCCAATCGTATTCATTTTATTGTTTAGTTATAGCAAATTTAATTTAACCTCATGATAAGTTATTAATATTAGCGCTAAATAGTTATAGATATTGTGACTTAATATCTCAAGTTAGAATGGGTAGAAACCATAGGTTAAAACAAAAGAAAAATGCAATTAAAGTTAAAGAAGTTAAAGGTGAAAATAAATCTTCTAACCAAACGAATTTAACAAATGTGCTATGTAATAATAACATTTTGTTTTGTAATACATGCAATCAAACAAGAGACGGGAAGTTTTGTTCCGAATGTGGATCTAAACTAAACGAAGGTAATTACTTAAAAGTAATTAAAGTATCAAAAATAATTAAGTAAAAAATTAAAGTTAAAATTTTTAAAGTAAACTTTTTACAATTTTTAAAAGAGTTTTTTAGTGAAGTTTTTGGTATGTAGAAGTTTCGTTTTGCTATTAAAAAAAAAATAAAATTATTATAAAGAAAGAAAAATGATTAGTTGATTATATATATATATATATATATATATATATATATATATATATATATATATATATATATATATATATATATATATATATATATATATATATATATATATAAATATACATATATATATATATATATATATATATATATATATATATATATATATATATATATATATGTATATATATATATACATATATATATATATATATACACACACACATATATATATATATACATATATATATATATATATATATATATATATATATATATATATATATATATATATATATATATATATATATATATATATATATATATATATATATATATATATATATATATGTATATATATATATATATATATATATATATATATATATATGTATATGTATATGTATATATATATATATATATATATATATATATATATATATATATATATATATATATATATACATATATATATATATAAAAATTAGTTACTTCTTTTATCTTACCGCTAATTTAAAATTTAAAAAGTGATAAAAAAAAGCTTAAACAAAATCGCTTACTGCGTACATAAAAATTGCTAAAAGCGAATGTAAATCGTTCTACGCATAACACTTTAAAACAAGGCCTGGTATATATATATATATATATATATATATATATATATATATATATATATATATATATATATATATATATATATATATATATATATACATACAATAATAACAATAACAATAATAATAATAATAAGATTGAGCTGTGGCATAAAGCGGAGCTGACAAAATGAATATAGTCAACTATGACAGCTGAACTGTATATAAAGTTTCATATTGTTTTCACATAAGTATTATAACTGTTTTTAAACAAATTAGTACTTTTGGAGTTTTTAACTGCATTCGGAAGAGTGTTACAAACATTAACCACTCTATATAAGAAAAAGTATTCTCTTTGACAGTTGTTTGTGAGCTGTTTGATTAGTTATTCCTTATTTTTCCTAACTGCACCTGCTGGCCCAGGACAATCACCGGATTGGGACTTGTTTGGAGGGTGGATCCAGGATGTAGTATTAAGAGCAGTGCTTTTTTTAAAATACTGAAATGTATTTACCCATATGCTATGTGCTTTGATTGATTGGATATTGATTAGGGCTAGTCGATCTTCATTTTTTTTTTCTCCTTAATGAAAGGCATAATTTGATGGCTCTTTGTACTCGTACGATAACTTTTTCATCAACTTTGTTGAATGGAGCCCATGCAAACTTTCTATACTTAGGGTGAGTATAAAGTGTTTTAAACATTGAAGGGTTCCAGTATCTAAATGTCCGCTTGAGTTAAGCTAGTGCTGCATTAACTGCTGCATATTTTTGTTTGCATTAAACTCATTTTTCCAATTATCTGCTCATATAGCCATATCATCAAGATCTGTCTGCAGCTGTTCAATGTTAAATTGCTTTGTTATTATATTTATTAGTTTGCTGTAATCAGTAAAAAGCTTGAGTGAACATTTGACAGCATCTGGCATGTCATTTATGTACATTATAAACAGTAAAGGACCTAGAATAGATCCTTGTGGCACACCACTCAGAACTTTTATCCACTTAGAGTAGTTTTTGTCAACAGGAACTCTTTGTTTTCTGTCCATAAGAAATGCTTTTAACCATCTTAGTAGTTTACCTTTGAAACCATAGGCCTCTAATTTGACAACTAATGCTTCATGACAAACTTTATTAAAGGATTTAGCAAAATCCAGATAGATTGTGATTGCGTAAAGGCCACAGTTCAGTGCCTCTGATGTTATGTCTATTGTCTCTAATAAATTTGATAAAGCACATGATTTTTTTCTTACGAAGCCATGTTGATGCTTAGTGATTAATTTTTGCTAAACTAACTGACTCATTATTTGTTTTTTCAACAATCTTACCATGGTTTTACATATTATGGCTGTTAAAGATATTGGTTTATATTAGATGGGTTGTTTTATTTATCTTTTTCTTTATATATTGGTATCACTTTCCAAATATTAGGTATTACCCTGTTTCAAATGATGAAACTATCAGAAGAGAAATAGGCCAAGCTAATCTAGTAGCACACTCATTGAGGACATAAGGACTTATGCCATCTAAGCCAATCGCTTTGTATTTCTTTTAATTACTAGCCAAAAACCGCAGTTTCATTAAGATCAAATTTATCGATCTTGCATACCTGATCAGTCTTGTTTAGAAATGTAAACTTATTCTTGTGGTCAATTTTAGAAAAAGCAGACCCAAATTGTTTATTAACATATTCTGCTTTTTCAAGCAATTTTATTAGCTCTATGCCGCCTTTTATCAAAGAGAGAACAGTAAATTTTTTTTTTTTTTAACTGAAAATATAGTTGTGTAAAATTTTTAGATTAGATTTTAAAAGTGAGACAAGTTTTGATTCATAGCTTTACTGTGCAGCCAGTATGTCTTTTTTTAAACTGCTTTCAAGTTGCTTTGTAAAGTGGGCTGATTGATAGATGAGTAATAAGTGAGCTGGCTAGCAGTTTTGAACAAAGGTTAAATTTCTTTTTTGTTAGAATTTTAATACCTGTTGTTAGCCATTTTAATTTGATCTCTATTTTTGAGTTGATGTATCTTGATTTGGTACATATTTAGCTAATCTTTCTTTGTATTGAAACTCAATGAGTTGGTTTATCATAATGGGATTGTTTTTAAACTTTTCAAGTTGTTTCCTCCATTCTGCATCTGCAAAAAATTTGTTTATATTTTTATAGTCGCCTCTACCATAGTTTGGTTTAGTTAGTAATAACATCCTGGTTGGTGAGATTGATGAAACTCGTACCTGGCATATAAAGCTTGGCATTTTACTATGAAGCTCAATTGCATTAAAGATGGTAAAAAAGTAGGATGCTTGTATATCTTGTCGTATATAAAATGCATAGCCACCATATGAATCAGGTCCGTTGTTAAAAAGATTGTAGTTTGGTAATTGGAAGCTGGAGTAATCATTAAACCAAGTTTCTGTAATTGCCACCATCATAGGGGAATTTAATGCTGTGACAGTTGCAGCAAGAATATCCATTTTATTACAAAGTGATAAAGCATTTGTATAGAAACAGGTGATTTCACTTAAAGGGATCCTAAAGTGCTGAGACAAGTTGTGTTTATTTTAAAGAGAATGAGAAAAAAAAAATGGCAAAATTTTTTTAAGTAAAACAAAATAATAAATGTATACCAACAAAAATAAACTTTGTTGTTTTACTCGAAGCTTGCCGTCTCCACAGTAACAATTTTCTGAAAGTCTTTAAAATATATGCTGCAATCTACAGATAATTTATTCAAGCGCGTTTAATTCCAAAGAGTTTTAGTAAATGACGTCATTGTAGATTTTTTTTTTGAATCAATATTATTTGTTATTGTTTTGTTGGTTTTTTAAAATAGCCTTTATTATCAATCTTATGAGTCTCTTATTTTATAGGAAGCTAAACATAAGAATTATGTTTTTTTATAGAGCGCAAGAACTAAATAGAATTAAGATATTTATATTATACTCTTAAATAAAATAAATATATAAAAAAGTCGTTGATCACTTTTTATATTTACTAAATCTTTTTTTCTTTTTATGTAAACAATGTAAACTTTATCTAAGCCGTTTATTGCTATGACGTTTTTGTTCTCCTATCGAAATGACATTTTACAAATTCTTGAATTTTTAATTAATAAAGAATTTTGGTAAACGACATCATCTATTAGAGATATTTGCTGAATTTTTAAATTTTTAGTTAGAAAATATTTATAGATTTTACACTTAACAAATTTACAGATAGCTATTTATTAATTAAAGCAATAAATAATGGTTTATGGCAATAACTAAAGATAGATGGCGATTAAAATTGTTGCAGTGCACGTTAAAAAACATATTGTATTTAATACTTTTCAATTTATGTCTTGTATTTTATATTAACTTGTCTTTTAAAATTATAAATCAAAAACTACCAAAATTGACAATAAAAAGTTTTTCATTAAGAGATTTCAATTTTAAAATTTACTCGATAATGCTACATTTTTTTTGCAATCTTGACCAATAATTGTTTAATTTTAAAAATAAAATAAAGTAAGCAATGTTTTACAATGTTTTACAATGTTTTACATGTTTTACAAAATAAATTTCATTAAATATATTCTTGCATGATTAAATAAGAATTTTGAGAATACTTGTAAACGATGAAAAGTTTAGCAAATAAATGCTGTTAATTAAACTTTCATAAGATTAACTCTTTTGCTACCAGAAGTTTTAACAAAAATTTTTACGTTACAACCACACATTTTTTTGAATAAAATTTTAAAGGCATTGACAAATAATTCAAATTCAAATTGTAAATCTTTTTGAAAGCATAGCAAACTATATAACAATAAACAGCTAAACAAATAAACTTTTTATTTAAATATGTTTTTAACACGTACCATTGAACACTAAGAAATGCAAAGTGCTTAAAACCATTGTTTTATAAATAGTAATTAATACATTTCCAAAACAAAACTCATTAAATGTATAAAGAGAATGTGTTTCGAGATAAAAAAAAAAAACGTTTTTAATTACTTAGCTAAATACCTATATATTTCTACGAGTTAAATTTTACAGTGTTAACGCTGCTTTATTTTATAACTAAATTTAGAGAAGTTTTTTTAAGTCAGGATTACTGAAGATTTTTTAACTTTGTCTAGTGATAACTTTTTATAATAACACAATATGGTTTATTTGTTCTTGATTATGTAGAGAATTAAACTTTAAGAACAAAAAAATTATGTGTCTAGAGTAAAAATTTATATACGAAACAAGATAAATAAAAAGCCTACTCTACCAGCAGTTTGCAGTAAAAATTTGAAAAAATCAAAAGCTGCTGTCAGCGGCCTACAGTAGTTTTAAATAATGCAAAATATTTTTTTAAACAGAATTTTAATAAGGATGATAATCATTTAATAACAATAAATTTAACACAAAAAATAATAATCATTTAATGATGATAATCATTTAATAACAATAAATTTAACACAAAAAATAATAATCATTTAATGATGATAATCATTTAATAACAATAAATATTTATTATATTTTTAATGATTTAATTGTAAAACTCTGCTGTTATTTTTTTCTACTGTTATTTTTTTCAAAACTCTATTTCTTGCGACAGAAAGACTTTTTTCCATTGTTGACATCACAACGTCTACCCATACTATCCTGTTGTTTCATGTTTGCATTTAGCTCATCTCTTCTTTCTTGCTGATTCTTCTTGATTGCTCGCTGAACACTAGTTTTATCAGTGTTAACATAGACACCTTTGAATTTTTCATTTTCTCTCATTTGCGTGCATTAAATTGACTAATTCTTTACTTTTCAGTTCAACTAAGATCATGTCTTTCTTTCTGTCCCAGACTTTATTCTAAATGATTTTGGCGTTGTTTCTTCATTTACTTGTAGTACAAATAAGATTTTTCTTACTAACTGATCATCTTTATCCTTAATTTCAACTTTGGATCTATGAGATCATCTATGTTCAAATTTGTTTATTACAATTTTATTTTCAATATGCTTGCTCTCATCCAGCTCCTGCCTTATCTTAGTGATCATGATTAATTCTTCCTCACTTTTTTTTTTAACTGAATAACGATACAAATGTGGGTAGTGGTTGTTTATTTGAAAGGCCTGCTTTGGTTGTTAAAGTGTTTAGATTTTTTGTTCTTAGTACTTCCTTCTCTAGGTCATCTATTTTAGTTGTAAGTTGGTATATTGTCTGGCTTTTGTTCTGATCAGAGTCTTCCAAAAATCTTACTTGGTTTGGCATGGTGGTATTCTGTTCCTGTAACAACTTGATTGATGTT